CCTTCGATACACTCCTACGTCTTTTGGCCCAAACACCACATAATTGCCAGAAGCTATCAATTGTGAAATTGATAATAAATTCTTCTTTATCCCAGGTACATGGTAGAAATTGTCGACCTCTACTTGATGTGGACTAAAGCGGGGGACTATAGCGGCCTTTCCGATGTGAGAGATTGGCATCTTGGAGTTGTTTGCGGTCACAACAACTCTTTCTCCCTTATATTCTGAAATACTTAGAAACTTTCCTTTGTCTCCAGTCATATGATTCGAGCAACCAAAATCAACAATCCAATCATCATCATAATTGATTGCTTCACTCACCGTGACCAATGCTGATTCTTCTACTGGCTCATCCATGCATTATGCTGCAATCTCTATACCTTCATCCCTCCGAGATTCCTTTACCGCGTAGGATGCTTGGACATCCCATTCTTCTTCGTTCTCATCCTGCTTAAGTGTGACTGTGTTACCTTCTTCTTTCCTGGCCCAACAATCTCGTACATAGTGGCCCTTTTTACCATAGTTGTAACATCGTCCATCCTTGGGCCGATATCTCTTTTGTTCTTTGTAGTCTCTGAATCGGGATTGCGTAGCTCCCCTTTGCTCTGGACCCTTCTTATGTTGGTCTTTCTGCCAACATTGTCTTCTTTGTGGGCCTTTACTTTCGCTATCTGAATTTGCAGCTGCCTTAACCTCCTTTCGGCCTCCCTTTTTACTAAAAAGGGCCTTGTCTTCCTCATTAATTGATACTTTAGACATTTGATTGTCTAAAGCTTCTTGATTTGCCAAAATACTTTCTAACTCTGTCAAGGTGGGTTCTGTGGCCCAACCTCTAATGGCAGTAATAATCCCATTATATTTTGGATTTAATCCAAAAATTATTATTCTCCTCATCCTCGTCTCAGAAATTACATTCTGAGGATCTAATTTTGCAATCTCATTACAAATTGATTTACCCTTAGTAAAATACTAACTTAACGCCATGTCACCTTGTCTTAGTGACATCAACTCGTTTTCTAGCAGCTGCAACTTAGCATCATTCTTCTTTGTGAAGAGTGTTTCTAATGTATCCCACGCCTCCTTCGGTGTCGTTAGGTCCTTGATCTGCTGCAAGAACTCATCCTCCATGGAGATCGACAACACGTATAAAGCTTTTCCACATCGAACCTTCCATTTCTTTAGATTTTGTTTATCGGTTGGTGGGGTCGTCTCCGCACCACGAACAATGCTCCAGAGATCTTGCCCAAGAAAATAATATTTCATCCGAACGCTCCACGTGTCATAATTGTATCGACAACACGTATAAAGCTTTTCCACATCGAACCTTCCATTTCTTTAGATTTTGTTTATCGGTTGGTGGGGTCGTCTCCGCACCACGAACAATGCTCCAGAGATCTTGCCCGAGCAAATAATATTTCATCCGAACGCTCCATGTGTCATAATTGTTGTTGTTAAGCCTCTCCAGTGAGCTAGTCGAGGATGCGAGATCTGCCATGATGATTGGTTAGCGCCCAGCACTCAACCAATTTACTGTGATCCTGATGATCAACAACTATTACAGTCCCAGACTGTATTCTTGCGGAATCTCCTAAACACAACCCTTAATCACAACTTCCACCAACGTACTAGCTCGAGCAAACTGGTTCCTGGTCCTGACTAAACCAGCTCTGATGCCAAATGTTGAAAAAGTAGGAGGCTAATTTTATTAATATACAAGAGCAAATACAAAAATATTGGTGCCCAGCACCTCTAATTTTTTTACACTAATACAACACACTCACTTACTTACTCACACACACTCTTCACAAGACTATTTATATTTTGGTGATACACACACTCAATATATATTCCTCACTTCTCACAAATACACTCACATCACTCTCACTCACTACTTACTTTGTTTCTTTTTCACTATGCACATAAGCATGATCACTATCCTATATATAGTTTCCCAATGTCCGTTTGGAAGCTTACTGGAAGCTCTAAATATTTCTTCACAATTAATGACTCTAGATATTTTTAATTGCTTAAAAATATAGCTTTCTAGTTGTTTCCATTTGTCAGGTGGTGATGAAGGAATAATCTAGAATAATAATTGATATTTTAACACATGAGAGGGGTAACTACAGTGAGCAATGTCATATGTGATGACAAGAAAACCGTGAAAGTGTGTAAGCAATTAGATGCTTAATTGGTCTCCTTGTGTACAGAACGACCTTGACTTCAAGCAATCAACATTAAATGTGAGAAGTCGGAACATGATGATGAACTCAACGTATTGGAGAGGTCATCACTTAATACTCATCAACAAATGTCAGATATAAAGCATGGCCATTACATGAGAGTCACAATTCGGTCCATACTTATCTTTGTTTTACTTTTGACTTTTGGAATATGAACATTCATTGGGAAAAAAATTCAGTCATTTAGAACTAGAAGTGGAGGACTCCGTACTCTGCATAAATTATTTGTTAATTAATTAAATATTATGCAAAGTATTGTACATAATGTCAAACTTGGTATTATTTAGCAAGGATACTAATTCAATTTCTTCAACTTGCAAAAATTTGTGAAATTATAATTGCTGAATCATGAATAAGATTAATCTCTAATTCAGTAGACTAGAGAATATGCATGACAAGAAAAAAATTATATTATTTTTTTACACCAACCTTGATCCCATTGTCTTAAGAGTTGAAACTTTGAAATTATAGAAACTCTAGGAAAAAATATCTCATAACCCCTGTTTGATGTAGCACTCGGATTTCCAATGTTATGGTGGCTGTGAGTTGGCTTGACTTGGTCATAACTTTATTTCAGTCCAACTTTTTTATTTTATTTCTCTTTTTGTATGAGATTCCAATTTCAATACGACTTTTGAACTAAGAAAGATAAACTTTTGGCAGAAAATTCAGTCATGGTTAGACGTATTTAACCAGATATCATAATGGAGCATCATCAACAATTCAGGTCGACCTTCCCAAGTGGATAAATAAGTGATAAGGATTGGAAATGTAAGGACTATGATGTATTTTATACAGTAAAGTATAAATTACATAAGTGATTAGAAAAGTCAACGGTTTAAGTACATTAATCTGGTGTTTAAAAAAACATTACAATAATCTTTGTAGTACGAATATGTAACAAACTGTACTGATTTTCTAATTGATGACTATTCACTAACTTCTATTCCTTCCACTTCAGAGAGTTAAAACTTACAAAATATAAAAAATACACTGACTTTGCAAAGTTGATGGGATTGTAATTTTTTATTAATACAATGGTAAATTTTGAAATACAGATGGAAAATGTTTCCGATGAATCAAAGTTGAAATGTCATAGTTTTTAAGTTTAGGAGGACTGAATCACTGAAATCAACCCCAGAGCTAGCCATCCTTATTACTTGAGTTAAGCCCAATTGACGTAGGACAAAATTAAGGTATTAACAGACTATTTATTTACATAAACAAGATTTAGGTATTAACATGCTATTCTTTTAAGTATCTGTGGTGCTATTTATTGAGGTGAAATTCCAATATTAATTGGAGAATCACACCTCAAGCTATATAAGTGTTGTCATCTGACATAAGCTTGTTTCCTTTTAAGTTTAGGTGACTTTTAATGTGAAAAAAGTGGGAGACTTATGTGACCACTAGTCCTGAGTAGTGAAAACGGTGTCGTATTGGATGTTGTTGGTTTGTGACCTAACTGATATCATATTTGTCATGATGGGATTATTTGGAATTTGTAAAGCAAGCCAGAGGATCTATGGAAGTTTAAGTCCAAGTGATCTGCATTATCTGAGTGCACATCAAAGGTTTTGGGTTTTGGAACTTGTTTTCATTCTCTTGGTTAAACTCTTTTTTGTTTTTTCACAGTGCCATGTGTTTTAGAAGCAAGATGTGTTCTCAGATGCTTTAATATAATAATATGGCCTCCAATATTATCCTTAGACTCAAAAATCTTGCTCTGATTACTCACTGCACATGAGTTGCGTTCTCATTCATTAAGATTTAAAAGTTTGTTATAAATTTCTACATAAATATTTTTAAGTGAAGAAAATAAAATAAAATAATTAATTAAATAAATTTTTCTATAAACTAAAATTAATTTATGCATAAATTTAAAATAAATCTATAAAAAAAGTTAATATAAGAAAGATTCTACAAATTAATTTATATATAAACTAATTTTAGTTTATAAAGAAATTTATCTCATTCTTTTTTCTTCTCTTAGAAATACTTAAGAAGAAGTTTATCTAAATATACCTAAAATATTTTTCGAATTACTATTGTCAAAAATAGGAATAATATGAAGTAAGAGTAAATCCAGTACTCCCTCCACAGCCACGTTGACTAGATTGGAGATTCTTTTATTTGTAATCTAAAAAATTTCTTGGTGATTGAGATTTATGCATGTGATAGTTGAAGCATGTACAGAGATGCAAAATAAGCCAAATGATCATTAGACTGTAGCATAAATTTCTGATAAGCTCTCATTTTCTTCAACAATTACATGTATAGTTAACGTTAACCTCTTAGTTGACAAACAGTTGTGACGGTATGATGTTGACTCATCCAAATTTTCCAATATAAAGAATAAAATCATCCATGTGAAGCACTGAAATAATGGGAAGCTGAATTTCTAGATGTCTTCAACAATAGAAATGGTCAAGGCTTCAATAAAAGATGCAGTGACATCATAACTTACTAGACCCGAAATCTTTTAGTCTTTACAAGACTTTTGACAAGGGTGTCACCTTCTTCTTGGAGCAGTTAATGGTCAATCATGTGCCAGAAAAATGGCACTTGAGTTTCTGTTGTTGTTGTTATTTTTTTTTTCCTTTTAATTTTAAGGAAGTATAACTTTTTTTATATTAGATTGACTTTTAAAACAATTTTGATTTTATGTCTAAGTCTGATATTTAATTAAAGAATATAAATATTAAACTATTTGTACTAACAATTTTGATTTTTCTATAAAATATAATAAGATAGAAATAGGGAATATACCTCTTCATAAACAGAAAAATGGGAGAAGTAAAAAGTGAAAACAAAAGAACAAATTCAAATCACTATATGTAGGAATTGTCGTTAAATATCATGAACTTTATACAATTATCTTTTCATTATATCATCCTTCTGGATAGTAGTATCCCACAAGTCTCCATATTTTTCATTGAATTCCCATATGCTCATGGTGTTATAGTCATTTATCAACTTGTCTCGAGCTCCTCTTTCCATATTGTATATGTGAGGTTCAAAGTGGTGGGGTTTATCAGGTTTATCCATCTCAATAATGCAGAATATGATTGTAAATATGCCTGCTCCAATGTACAAGTACTCCCCCTGAAAGAAAGAAAGTTGTTAGAATATATCGTTACTTCTTCCCCCAAGTAAAATAGGAATGCAAATACACCATTTATATTCACAGAAAGTAGCCAATTGATTTAAAGATTGAGTCCTTCTTCGTAAATGCCAATTAACATTTAGAATTACCGGAACATTGAAGTACACCCCAAGAGCAATGGCTGGTGGGAAGAGCCAGGACATAATCCCTGCATAAGAAATACATAATAATAATAATAATAATAATAATAATAATAATAATGACCATTAAAATGAAAATGTTATAAATTATTAATGGTGTATGGAAAACACACCCTGGAATCCTGTGGGGGGTTCTGCTGCTGCTATCTCTTCCGCAACTGAGCCCCAAAATGTTCCTAAAATGCATTGATTATGAACTTTGTCAGGAAAACAAAATGCACTAAGGAAGGAAAGTTTTCATTTTACGCATAATTTTAAATACACAGCCTCAGAAAAATAAGATTCCTATTGAACTTGACAAAATTGGCATCAATTTTACAGCTAAAACGAGCAAAGGCCTAGTAATAGTTTATCAAAATCTTAAAATTTGAGTTTGAATAGACCCCAAAAGCTAGCTAGTTAAAATCTTATTTATTTATTTATTTATATATACTATTTTGGTGGATCTGATAATGGCTCAAGTGGTCAAACTAACCCAACAACAATTATTATGATATATGATAGATTATGATATTACATTAGAATGAATATATATTTAATTCAACTCTAAAAACTAACTCATGTTGTAAGAGTTGATCTTCATTATAGACTATTTTAGCTATATTACTTCATTAGAAATGTTGGCTGTCTAACAAAAAGTCAAAATAAAAATTACCATTCTCAGTGACAGTTTTACTTACACCAATTCATACGTTAATATAAACCAAAAGCAAGACTTCCTCCAATTTCCATTAAAACAGTGAGATAAAAAAAAAAGTGAAAAGAAACCTAAACTAAGAAAGTAAGCAATAGTGAGTAAACAAAAACCTTTCTTCTGTTCTCCTTCATTGTAAGTGTGATGGTCATCATATATTCCATACACAAAATCATCCTGAAATGAAACCTATAATCAGAAGCAAAAGGACAGATGATAAAGAGAGAAGCAAGTAAAAGCATTGAGATACGTACAGGATCAACGCCATTGGTGGCATCTTGGTCTCTAGCATCTTCATTGAGGTCAGGTTCGATCTCGTTAAAACCAGCGTTCAAAAAGAACCCTGTTGAGGTGTTAGTCTTGGTCAAGATGCCATGCCAATTGGGTGGTGGTGAAGATAAGAAGGTTTTGGAAATGAGTTTATTGGTTTGAGAAGAAGTGATGGGAGGGAGAAGTGAGAGTGAGGAACATAGCGCCATGTGTGGTTTAATTGCTTGCTTTGCTCTATCTATTCGATGCACTTATCCTTTTTCTTGTTTTATAACACGCTCCACACAACAACACATCTCAATTTACCTTATGTTCATCATTTGCTTCTATTATCTTATCAAGATATTATTGTGGAATTGTTTCATATCTATTACACTAAATTGCCAATTGTACACTAATAATAATAACTTTGTCCTCTGGATAAATTAAACGTATAAATTTTAATTTTTATGTTTATCTACTTGAATTTTATATAAGCATTTGCCCATTCAGATTATTAAAATTATGTTTCCATATAACTTTATTTCCCATGTCAAGAAGCATTAGGCTGACAATTTAATATTTATACTAATAAGGAAATAATCTTATTTAATAGCCCAATTTTTTCTTACTTATTTTACTTTTAATGACTGCACATGCACTCAAATAACCATACACGACTATAAAAATATAAATGACCTATTTACTAAATAAAATATTATTTTCTTCTTTAAATGCACGCAAGAGTGGGTTTCTTTTAAAATATAAAATAAACATTAGAAAACATCTATATGAATAAATAATAACTAACTTCACCGATAGGAATAATACTCTTAAATAGGGGTGTTCAAAACGCAACAATTGAAAGAAAAAAAATCGAACCGATAGAAAAACTGAAATTCATAAAAATCGTAAATCAATGATTTACTTCGGTTTTTAAATTTAAAAATGGAATGGTTTGATTCGATTTTTAGTATCTTAAATCAAATCAAACCAAGTAATCTGTAAATATTTTTTTTCTTCAAATATAATTTATAATATTTAAAAGATATTTTATAAAATTGTAAGTTGTTAAACTGAATTTTAGAATAAAAATTATGAATTATTTACAACATTTGAAAATAAATTTTTTAAGTGACAAAATATTTTAATATGATAATTAAAATTATATTAAAGAAATGTTTTACTAAAAAAATAAAATAAAAGCGATGTTAAATATATTAAGTGACTGAAATATTATAATATTTTTAATTTTATTTTTAACGTATAATTTTAAATAAATAATATAGTATTATATATTTTTAATTAATTTTTAAATAACAAATTTTAATATTGAAAAATCCAAATTAAACCAAATCACAAAAGACTAGTTTGTTTTTATTCAAATTTCACTCATTCAAACTAAATTAAATTACACTGTACTTAAATTTTTTGTTTAGTTTACGTCTTTTTTAGTAAAAATTAAACCAAATCACACCATAAATATCCTTATTTTTAATAAAAACAATAATATACTAATCATCTATAAATAGATTATTAATTGTCATTATCCTAAAGAAATTTATTAACTGTTATCTAGATTCACAAATTGTCTAAACCAATAAAGATTCACATGCAATAAATATTTTTAATTACTTTTTCTTTGTCGGCTAAAAATTATTGCCAAAAGCTTCTAACATGTCACTTTCACATATAAATTTAATGTGATTTTTTTTACTAATAAAGGTACTAATTGATGAATTTTGTACAACAAATTTAATAATATTTAGATTTTTTGTGCTGATTTATTAATTTTATTTTATTTTCAAATTTTAGAAATTAAAAAAATTAATTTTAAATTTGAGAATGAAAATAAATTTACTTAGTATTAAAAAATTAAAAGCATATATGCCAAAATTATTCCTGTTCTTATATACCTTAACAAAAACCAAAAATTGTATTGTGTATATGTAAGACTCATTGGCTTCATAACTTATTTTATTCATAGAATCAGAATCAAACAAGATAGAATATCTACAAAGCCTATGTTTCTCTCTTTCTTAAAACTTCAATCGCATAAATCACTCACAGTCCACACCTCTACTTACCAAAACCAACTCCATACCAATTACCAAACAATACAATTACACACTACCAACGAATAACACTACACTATTACTTATGGTTCTTCACTATATTATTACTTGTTCCTTCTTTTATGCAGCGTACATTTCAAAACACATTTAACATTCCATTTCAAAAACAAAATTCCAGATTAAGTGTTATAGAACACAGTTTTAACACTTTAGATTAAGTGTTACAAAATATATTTTTACATTTGAGAAGTGGAAGGGAACAGGCTTTATGGGTAGGTTTTTTTTTTTTTTTTTTTTTTTTTTATTTTTTTTTT